AGGGGGGGGGGGGGGGGGGGGGGGGGGTCGCGCAACCCGTCGCCGTGCGGTACAGGGGCGGGGGTCAGGAGAGATGGAAGAGGAGCGGGCACGGCTGATAAGACTCTGATATCTATAATAGCACATCGGTAGAATAGCGCGGTAGGCGTGTTTGGTGTGGTCGGCCGGGCGGGAGAGGAATTACCCCATCGAACTGATACGCGAGGCAGGGCGAGTTCAAGATGGCACCTGTTTTCGTTCATGACCCAGCGATACACCGTCGTAGCATTGTCGCAAACACGCACACACACCAATTGCCAACAAAAGTACGCCCCGGTAAACCCCATCGAGTCCACACAGATCTCCCATCAGGGCATCCCCCAGTCTTGAGAAAAAATTAGAAAAAAATCCCACGCACATGAAGCCACACACGACGCAACAAGCTTTCGTCCCCCCGTCCCTCCTCCTCCTCCCCCGCCCTCACTACGGTCGCCATCCCTCACCCTATTGGCCGTATCCCGCAGGCTCTCCGACTGCGGCACCTTGAGCCCTCGGTAGCGCGAGTCGAGGCTGATGAGGGGCCAGTGCGGGTGGGTGTCGGTCATCGGAGGAGGCCTGACCCCGTACCCCCGTCTCCACTCGACCACGACTTCGCCCATCGCTTCCTCCAGGGTGGCTTTGTTCCTCCCCTGGAGCGCTCCGTAGTGCCTGCGTTTGTCGTACGAGGTAGAGGTTCCCCGCGCGACGACGAGATACCCCGGTCGGCGTGAAATGCGGGGGGGGGGGGACACCCGACGGTACGAGGTGTTGGTGAGACGACGAACAAGAGCCCACGCGCAGAGCTATTTGGCTACACCTGTTTGTTGTACCGTCTCGAAAGTACTGCAGGGAGAGGGTGGACCCCACACACACAGAACGACGTCGCGACTAGTCGACAGACGAGACAACAAGCAGATGGACCAACGCGGAGACATAAAAAAAAAAATTAGAAGTATGTCTCAGTTGTTTTGCCCGGCGCCCATCATGCGCCCGCCCCTGCCCCTACCAAAACCTTCACGGTTGTTTTTTTGCCCCGTGCCCATTGTGCGCCCCGTCCCTGCCGCACCAAAAAAAGGCGGTTTCGCCCAATGCCCATCGTGCTCCCGCCTCGCCTAATTCCGAGCCATCCAACACGACCCAACCCACGCACCTCTCGTTAAGCCGCCAGCTCGTTTTGACGGGGACATAGGGCTGACCGCAGCCGTCGAGGAGGCGGTGCAGGGAAGTGCAGGCCCTCTTGAGGACGGAGGCGTGGGCGACGTCGAAGCGGAAGCCTGCCGCGGCGAGAAGCTTGCCCGCCTCGAGGGCCTCCTGCCTCCCCTCCTCCGTCAGCGGCACGTCGCACCATCCCTGTTCATTGACGGTGATATTTGTAGGCGGGCAACACGACGCGTGGGGATCGTAGTAGCAGTCGTTAGGCAACGCAAACGAAAATGGCGGCTCGAAGTAAGGTAAATTAAATGGCGACTCAAAGTGGCGGAGAAATCCTGGCCAGGGCCATCAAGTTGCTTACACATGGAAGTATGATAGTCTCATCAAAGTACACTGATGCCACAGCGGTGAGGGTTAAGAAGTCACAACAAAAAATATTTTGAAAGAAAACGAAAGGATTGGAAGAAACAGTCGCCGAAAAACAATGCTTGTCGCCGTTTACTTCAATCCCAGTGCGGCGAAGCCCCCGTCCATGACTGACGCAATCTATCGGAAGTACCAGACGCTTTTTATCTCCCTTTTATTCATTAATACCTGTAAACAAATCTTTGTGTGTATGCCGTCACCACCATATCACCCCGCAACACCCGTGTGGCATAATCGATCAACCTTGACGCCCCGCTAAGCGCACAATGGCTGAGTAAAATGTAAGTTGTACCGGACAAGGATGAAAGGAAGGATGCACTGAGAGACAAGGTAGGTTACTTCGGAGTGGCACTGCCGTCCCGCTTCAAAAATACGGTTGTTTGTCCAATCGCTCTTGAACAGAGGTGGTCAACAAGAATTGAGAACGTGACAAAACTGTAGCAGTCAGATGGATGAATGATGCCTGTTTCGTGTTGTGCACCTACGTAGGAAATGTTTAGGAGAAACAAGACACACAGTAGTCGTCGGAGGGAGGAGAGTGAAAAACAAGAGAGACATGATGAGGCACACCACCACCATCACCGCTAACTAGTTTCTAAGCTTCTACTTTGATGGCAATGGACAAGAACCAGGCACACCCTCGACAGCGACGATCATCACCGCATCTGCATTGGGCTAAGGGCTAAGGCGGCACCTTCACCGGCTGCTCTGCTGTTCCGATCCAAATTCCTGCAGTCAGCGCGATCACGCCGACGGGTGTTCGTTGCTTCTTATCCGTTGCTCCTTATCCGTCGGCATCATCGCGCCGACCGCAGCAATAGGGAGCCGCAACAGGCAAAGCAGCCAGTGCAGTTGCCGTACAGCAGCAGCCCAGGGTAGATAGATTTGCCGCGTGACGCGTTCGGTGAAAAGCAACGCCAACTCTTTGGCGACGATCCTGGGACTACTGCTGTAGCACAAAGTTCATACATGCGTGTTTCTACAACATGAACTCGTGTATGTTTATCAAATATGTTTTAACTGGGAGTCCGGGTGGAACTACTGTCGGCGTGGCAATACTGCTGTTTGTTAAATCGCTCTTCAACATAGGTTGTCCAAGAAATGGGAACTGGAAGAAACAAGTAGTTGAACGAGCGAGAGAGCGAAAAGCAACGATGCAACAACAACAACAAAAAACGCTTCATCATCACACCACCACGACCTTTGTGCGCATCTTGTTTCGAAACTTGTACTTTCATGGTCATGGACGACAACCAGGCACGCCCGAACAGGGGCAGCGGTCACCGCCGTCTACCCGCCGGGCTACGACGACACCTGCGCTGGCCGCTCTGCCTGTGCCGGCCGCTACTCCTGCAGTCGTCGCGATCACGCCGACGGTTGCGAGGCAGGTGTCGTTGCTTCTCAACCGTCAGCATCATCGCGCCGACCGCAGGAAAAGGAGCCGCCAAAGGCAGGGCCACCAGCGCCGGTCCCGCTTAGTAGCTCAGGGTAGATATATACTTGCTGCGTGACCGCGTTCGGTGATAAGACAAGGCGAACTATATTTTCACGCGGAAGGAAGCAATGCCTAAAATGAGGACCAACAGTGAGGATACAGCACAAAAAGCGTGGTTGTACATACGCATAATATATCTCGAAGGGGTTGTCTTTCTGTGGTTGTACCTATGCACATGCACATTGTATGTTTCCTGGAAGCGTGCACGGTACACTGTCGAGGGACTCAGCAACGCATTTTTCTCTAAAAACAGCAGTTCCCCAGCAGCAGTTGTGCAGCACAAGAGAGCCTCATGGTCGGGATAATAACGCGGGCAATATCCGAACACGCAAGATTTAAGGAATAATAAATACAAACACAGAAAGACTACCCATTCGAGATATACCCACAGTCAAACGGGATGTGGTGGAGTCTTTTCAGTGAGTGGAGGAAAACCGGCTGGGTACTGGACTTATTTCGAGGCAAGATTACAGCAGTATCACCCACAGATATGTACTTGTACAACCGCTAAACGAAAGTGCACCAACCAACCGGCGCTTGCGCGGAAAAAAAAGTGTCGCTTTGGCGGCAAGTGCTAGTGCCTTTCCATGAAACGTCGTTTGGTGGTTTGGTGGAATGCCAAGATGCAAGGGCTGCCCTACTCCTTGCGCCTTGCGGCCGGCCAAAGCACGCACTGCTGTCTGTACACCGCCGAGCTGGTGCTTCTTGGGGCTGGCGAGAGCTTCGAATAGTGGGGGAAACGAGAACAATACACGGGAGCGGTTGCTCCAAAACTGCTGCTGCTGGGTCGGCACGTGCGTCGTTTTTTGCGAAGCGACGCGTCGACAGCAAAGACAACGCGGCGTGTCACTCGCTTCGTGACGTCGTCGCCAACAATACTTGCCGTGAAAATGTTGAGCTTGTTGAACGTGCTCATCCCGTGCCGGAGGAGTACCACCTGCGTCCCCTTGCCCGGCCTCTGCCTCCCATCCCCGCTCCCGCCCGCCGCTCCTTGCGCGGCCATAAGCGTGCTCTCTCTTCTTCTCCTGGCCATCCTGATGCTCCTGCTCACGCTGTCGGCCAGGTGTCGGCTGCTGCTGCTGCCGCTGCTGCTGCCGGCGTGATGGCGGCCGAAAGCCGTGGTGGTTGATTTCCATCTCCGGAGGGCCGTCGGGTGCGTAGCCGTCGGGAGGAAGCCCAGGCCCCGGCGCGTGGAGCAGGCGACGAACGCCGAGACGAAAATCAGCCTCCTGCCGCTGTTCTGCAGCAGCCGTCGGCGCGCCCTGCTGCTTGACCACGACGTACTTCGACGCATGCTAACCGTGCTGTGTGTCGTCGACGCGTTAATCCACCACCAGGCGCAGCCGGTGGCAGCCTCTCTGGCGTGCGGTACTACGGGGTGAATCCTGAAAGCCAGCGCTGGTGTGATGTGCTGCCCCTCAATAAGAGCAGCGAGCGGTGGTGGTATTTGCCGCGGTAGCGATGTTGATGATGAACTGAACGAATGATCCAGATCGCGTGAGCGTGAGCGTGATCTCGAGTTGCTCCGCAGATTCGTGGAGGGGTTGATTTTAAATGCGCGGATCCCCCTCAAGAACGATTCTCGTGACGTAACCATGCTCAAGTCAGTCAATGTGCTACCCATCACCTCACCTGCCAGCTCTTTCACACACCTCCCAAAAGAGAGCCGTGAACCATGTCTTCCGAGCCGGACACCAAGATCATCGACCTCATTCAGGCTAGCGCCAAGGAGGCGCTGACGGAGGGCGGCGCTGGCTTCCAGTCGCTCGAGTTTTTTCCTCCGCGGACGGACACGGTAAGACGTGCAGACTGAAAATATGAAATTATGACCTCGCGTTGAATGTGGTGTACCAAAAGACAACCGCACCCCTCCTCGAGACCAACCAAACATTGATTGGTCTTTGGAGTGGATTTCGACAGAGCGGGGGGTGCTCTGTCTCTCGCTCACTCCCTTCGCTGCTGGCTAGCTGTCTGGTGTCGTTGTCGTCAAGACAGCAGGACGGAAGACGGGCGCTTTGTTGGCGCATTTTTTCATGAGCATGTGTCGTGGACATCACAATCGAACACACGTGGTATGCTACTACAGCGTCGGCTGTGATACCGGGCGGTTACCACAATTTTTTGTGCTCCCTCCCGATTGCCCGCCTCCAATACAAGAATAGATTCTTTGCCGCAAGATGGATCCCTTTAGAATTGACAGCTAAGGGACGAATTCACCGCAGATTACATGGAAAAGCAGCATGCGATGGTGGTTGACGGGCGGTGTTTCGTGCTACCGTTTAACACCAGCCCCGACTGCCGCACTTCCCTTGATCTCGTTATCCCGCGCTACCTTGTAGCAACCTTACGGGGGGGTGCTCGCGTGTCGTACTTGCGTTCGCTCTGTGTTTTGGGACGTTGTGGCCATAATTAACTGTGGGTGCACTTCTCATGGCAGACCTTAGATTGCGTTATCTTCACTCTCCTGTTGTACATAGACTATGGGTACATCGATATGGGGCTGGTTGCCCCGCTCCCAGCGGCGCTCTGATCGGCTTGTTGAGCACTCCGCGTTCGGACAGCAGCAGTAGACGTTAAAGACCTTGTACCTGTGCGTTTGACATCTGGCACGCTGCTGGAGTTGAGTCCCTTCGTCGAGAAGTTTACTCCAGCGAAAGAAAATGCGGACGAACGAGTTATGCATACGCTTGTTTTCCAAGCCGGCGAACTGTATCACTCGTTGTCCAACCGCTGTACTGCGGAGGCGTTGGAGTCGTTGCGGGACAAGTAGGCTGCGCTGTTGGCACACGTAGACCTTGTTCTTTCCCAGTACCCATCACTAGGAGCATAATCCTGTAAGAGCGTGAGTACTGCTGTTGTTGTGGTAGGTTTCCCAAGGCTCGATGAAACGCCCAACATAAGTGATGAAAAACAACGCCTGCCTAATTTGCACGCACCACTTGCTGGTCTTCACCTTCAAGCCCGCCATACAACATACCCTCCGATACGGGGGCGTGTGGTCACAGATGAAGGGGGGGGGGTGAGCGTTTCGTGCGTACCAGAAAAGCACTCCGCCTTCATTAAGCATGGTCTATACACATCTTGTGTTTTTCATGCGTAGTGCATTGCCTCCCGTCTGTTTTTCACAACAGGCCGGACTGTTTCGCCACCTCTCGGCCCGGAAACCGCGCGCTGTTCTCTCCGTGTTGACAACGTGCCGAAGACACCCCCAAAGAATCCCACGACCGACGGTTGTCCTTTTCCCCGCAACAAAAAGGGCTCTGCCAAACCAAGCCAGACCCAACCGACACGATTGAGCCCTTTCTCCGTTGACACGCATCGTACTTTTGAATCATTTTGTTTATGGTCCGCTCCCGCTGGATAGACACATTGGCGGCGTGGGTTTCTTGTTGGTGCTTGTCCCTAAGCTCCCTCCGACACCCAGGTCATCTTTCGAATTGGTGCCGCGGCTATAATTGCTGTAATTCGTGGCCATATATATCACTGCGTGCAATATACCTTGAACCTTCCATATCAAGCTTTCAACAAGAACGACCGACCCCGGTTGGTTGATTGCCTCATCCGGGGAGTTCTTCTTGAGGCCGTGTATTAACGTTTATTTTTGTCACCTAGATTGAATACCTAAATGAAAATAATATGGGGGTGGTTGATTTAATTAATTGTTTTAGGTTTGGGGAGTACATAGATATCAAGGATCCGAATCTTGAAAAAAAATGTTTGTTTTTCTTAACATGGCCGAACAAATCCATCTCTAAGAAAAGAGTCTAAAAAAAGATGGATTATTAGCAATGAAGTTCATAGCATTATTGAATCGCCTGAACTGAAATCTCCGTTTTTTCTTACATCCGGACTAACATCGTTTTTTTGTTGCCGCCGTTTGTTACCGAAAACGCTCTTCTTGCGCAGGGCGTCATGAACCTCATGGACCGGCTGGGCCGCATGAAGGCGACCAAGCCCCTGTTCGTCGACTTCACCTGGGGCGCGGGCGGCAGCACCGCCGACCTCACCCTCGACCTCACCACGAGGACCAAGAAGGAACATGGCCTGGTGCCCAACATGCACCTCACGTGCACCAACATGCCCGTCGACAAGATCGATCACGCCCTGGCCCAGTGCAAGGTGAATGAGCATTTCGGCGCGGTGTCTGTATGGACGCCTCCTTGGTGCCGGCTTTTTTTTTTTTTTTGCTCGGTAACCTCTGTTTGTGTGGTACGTGGATCCCCTGGTACGATAGTCCGGTGCATTGTGACGCCCACTCTGTTAGCGGGGGTACCACGTTTGGCCGGCCTCTGTGTGTCCCGCACGCAACAGGCGAAAATCGCCCCGAACGTTAGAAACAATCAAGAACATCGCCGATTTGTAGACGGTAACCTTAGGTGGCACTGCTACAGCTGCCATGAAACCTCGGAGCCTCGTTGGTTATTTTCCGGGAGGATGACCCACCATCGAAATGCAGGTTTTTGTATAAACCTGCTGACAAGAGTCTCCTGCTCCTGTGGTAAGTCTTCAATAGTTGTCTCATTTTAGCCTGTCCGAGCGGCGACTTACCCATCAGAACCATCTCGATTCACGAACACGTCAATTTTTCTCTCGGACGGCTAAGACGGAACTTTAGGGCACATTCGCCATGTCGCCATGTGGTGTCGTCGCGCCACCGCCGCAGGCGGCGCCCTCCCCCCTCATGCCGCATTTTTTCTTGACCCATTCTCACTAGAATAGTGCCCCCCCGCCCGCCCGTTTTCCGCCGATACACCCCCGTCTGTGCATGGCATTGTCATCATTCCCCTCGCTTCGCAATATATTTTAGGAGCACGGCATCCGCAACATCGTGGCGTTGAGGGGAGACCCTCCCACGGGCTCCGACACCTGGGAGGCTGCTGAGGGAGGATTCACCTGCGCGCTCGATCTCGTGAGTTCTGGATTTTTTTGTGGATGTAGATGTAAAGACACCAAAGAGTGGTGTTGATGATTTTTTCGTCGATATGTAGATGTACAGAAACGGAGTATTGTTGATGACCGGGGCGCTCGACTTTGAATTTGTTTGCCCTCCCACGGCACTTTTTGTTTGGGCCGTGTAGTGTACATACATACAACCTCCGGAATATTGATGACCGGGGCTCTGGACTTTTGCTTTTTTTTTGTGCCCACGTCTGTTTTTTGGGCCATGTCGTGTGATCTTGAGGGGAGCGCACTGATGTTGTGCTTGGCTGGCCTGCTGCTCCATCGATATGTTGTGGCGGGATGTGGCGTCCTTGCTAGTTCCCCCGTTTCCCCCGACTCTGGGTACACCGCAGAGGCTTGCGATAGTTGTTTTCCGTTTGGCAGTGCTTCTTCTTCCATAGCAGCGCGCTTGTTTCGCGAGCACAGGACAGCTGTATGTTTGTTGCCTCAGGGTTTGATCGGTATCGCTGAACGCCGTCGCGAAAGCTTTCACGCCCCTCAAGTGAAGTGATAGCAGCGTTTTTTCTCTCTTTCTACAGCCGTCGTGCTGTTGGCGAGCTCATGATGTGTGCTCGGGCTCAGCAGTCAGTGTTCGTTCACTTATTGGCATTTTTTTTTCTGGCATTTTGTGTTGTTGTTGTGCCCATATCCGTGTCACCGGGGAGTTCGTGTGTCAACTATTTAGTTTTTCCTCTCTTGTCTCCCCTTGCCAGGTGAAGTACATCCGGAAGAATCACGGTGACTACTTCGGCATCAGCGTGGCGGGATACCCGGAGGGGCACCCGAACAGGATAAAGGAGGTATGTGGTAGAAACGCGCGTGACCGGGTTTCGAATTTTTTTCAACGCGGAGAGCGCCGAAGGGCGGGCGTGGTCAGACGTTTGTTCTCTTCCTGATTTTGTTTTTTATGCTTCTCGATGTTGCCTTTAAACATGCCCTTTTTCTTTGGAACATGACCTGTAGCTGCTACCTGTGTCTTGAGGCCTTGACGCAAAAGTTCTTTCTGAAAAATCCTCTCCCCTTTGTCGTTGTTGTCGGTGTCATTCTTTTTTCTTGCACAAGCTGGTGGTGGACTATTTCCACCACTCTGTCGTTCCTTACACTTGTTTTTTGCGTTCGGCGATTCACCATGTCTATTCTTGTAATTACTTTTTTTCGGCTTTTTGTTGTTGTTTTACGAAGGTGCCGGGAGGGGTGGAGTCGCTGAGCGAGGCGGAGAAGGGTCGGTGCAAGATCTCCCAAGACGCGGAGGGAAAGGAGGTGGTCACCGTCTGCTCTGGTGAGAGGGACTGGAGGAGGGTGCGGGGTTTGGAAATATGACAAAGACAGACAAAGGCAGAGAGGTACAGAGCAGGCAGGCAGGGACAGCGACAGGCAAACATTGAGAGAGAGAGCTGAGAGATTACCGACACATGGACGGACAGGCAGGTGGGTAGACAGATGGGCAGAGGAGGCGGAGAAAGAATGTAGAGGGAGACACAGCAGCAGCGGTGCCGTCGAGCGAATCAGGGTGCCGTTGATTTTGTCGTGGGGTTCCCCATCGGGCGCCTCGATTATAAATTCAAGGGTTATATCCTCACCCTGCTTGTGTAGCGACCGTTTCAATAGCCGAGTTTTTTACGAGATGGGCGTGGCGATCACGAGTGGCCAACGGCTCCCGTGTGCGGGATAGATGGCCCCGTGATTTTGTTTCGAACACGGCTGGTGCCACCGCTGCGTAGACGCTGGCTCTGAGACCTTCTGTCTACCAACGGATCACAGCGCTGTTGCTGCTGCCATGGCAGTCGCTAACCCTGCGCCCACGTGTTGACTCCCACGACATGCTGCGTGCTGCGCTGTGTGCCTTCTCTGCCGTAGACGCTGACTTCGAGATAGAGATGAACTACATCAAGGAGAAGGTGGACGCGGGGGCGGACTTCATCATTACTCAAATGTTCTTCGACCCCGCCGTCTACGCCTCGTACATCAAGGCCTGCCGAGACAGGTGTGATGTTGTTTTCCTTTGTGAACGGCCGTCGCCCCGCCAACAACTGGCTGCCCGGTAGATGTATCACTGCGTCATGGTTCGCGAGACCAGTATGTGACCAGGCGCGCGAAGGCAGTGTGAGTGTGCAGAGGCAGGTCTTGTTCGCTCGTTGCTCGGCTTGTGCGTATGCTGAAAAACAAAATCATGAAACGATTCGGTCAAGTTCCCATGCGTTTTGCGGTACCATATTTCTGACGAATTTGTCGATAGTACCGTCCTTTGCTGTTGTCGCTGTCGCCGCCGTTTGTCACCGAATTTTGTGTTTTTGAATTATCTCCGCCGCTACTCCTTTCCCCTCCAAAACACCAAAAAAAGGGGCATCGAAGTGCCGGTGGTGCCAGGGCTGATGTGCATCAACGCGTACGGGGGTTTCAAGAAGATGACCGGCTTCTGCCTCACCCGAGTCCCGCCGGAGCTCATGGCAAAGATGGAGGAGATGAAGGTACAACGCGTGCAACGTGCCGGTCTTATTCCTGCATGCCAAGGTGTAAGGCCTCCGGTGTGTAGCATTAGCGTTAGGCGTCGAACGTCCGCCCACATGCACACAGCGCTCGTGGCACCCAGGCCTGGACCCTCCTATCCGCCCCCCCCGCCCCTCGCACGGGACACGGGACACGGCACCCCCGAGGAATGGGAAACGTTCTGCTGTTCTTCAGTACCCACGATTACTCGAGTCATGTCGTCATTGGTCCGTTCTTCAGCGCGGCAGATGCCGGGAACCATGAACCCCCCCCTCCCAGCTAGGTCAATGACCGAACGCCTACGGCATGCACGGGTAAAAGAGTAACCTCCCCCTGTCGAGGGTCACGAAAAGGTGATGAATGTCGTCCACGATGAAATAGCAATTCAATACCCCTTTTATCTCCCTTGGTGCCACCCTCACCCCGCCGCCCGCCCCAATGACG